GGGGAGGGGGGCAGATAATGGAAGATGCCAAACAATGGAAAAAGATGAATGATAATTAAGAAAACATTGGGGTAACAGAGTAGAGATAGAACTAGGGATGTGGTGCATGTGGTCTAGTGGCGAAGATGTTGGGCTCACAACCATAGGGTATAGATTCGAACCTCGTCGATCAGGGGCCCGACGCTGTGTCTTTGGGAAAGGCACTTTTTACGAATTATCACTTACGCCACGGTACTCAACTCCAGCAAGGTTGAAATAGCGGTCCTCAGAGAAATTCGCGCCCGCAACTTGCAACTTTCTGGCGCAACTTTTGCCCTCAGCGCAACTTTAGCGCAACTTTTGCCATTTTCGTGAATTCGCGAATTTTAGCCAATTTTCCGCAAAAGTTGAAAAAATAATAATAAAATTTAATAGGTACCCGAGTAAAAACAGCGAACGATCTTTTGTTGGTGTTTGAGTTTTGAGTGCTTAAACTATATGCAATAGACTGACACTACTGACAGCGCTGTATGCTTCCCGAGAAGCCGAGAATGTTTTTGAATGCATGTACTAGTACTCGCACTATAGTACATGTACGTACTAGGGTCTATTGCGGTAATATTATTTTAAAGCGCTTAGAGCTTGCTGTGGAGAAGGCAAAATGCGCTACACAAACGCTATTTATTATTTTTTTATCAGCTCTATGTGCAGCTTGTTTGGCTTGTCTGCAGCGGCGATTAGTGGCGTCGGTGGCCTAGTGGTTAGGCTCTCGGACTCGCAACCGTAAGGTCGTGGGTTAGAATCCCGTCAGGGGCCCGACGTTGTGTCATTGGGAAAGGCACTTTACACTTATTTTCCTCACTTCACCCAGGTGGGAATGGGTACCCGGCTATAGACAGCGAAAGATCTTGTCAGTTTGTTAGTGTTTGAGCGCTTAATCGGCTGCTTGCACTGTATGCTTACCGGGAAGCTGAGAATGTTTCGGAGTGCTCTATGGTCTGCTGGGGTAATAATATAGTGTAAAAGCGCATAGAGCCTGCTGTTGAGCGTGGATATGCGCTATACAAATGCTATCTATTATTATTATTATTATTATTATTATTATTATTATTATTATTATTATTATTATTAAAGGAAGGGGGTATGCGGATGATGTTCATAAAAAGATTGCACAAAATAATGATAAGATAATAAATTTAGATTTAAATTTACAATTTAACGTCAAGCAATCAACGAATAGAAGGAAGAGAAGCATTCTTCTACACTTTCAGACAGAAACATGAATCAGTACCTTTTTGAATCACTGTAAGTACGGTAACTGACTGACTCACTGCCGCCATTTGTGTTTAGTTTATGTGTGTGTGTGTGTGTGTGTGTGTGTGTGTGTGTGTGTGTGTGTGTGTGTTTGGGCACTCACTCACCGCCGCCATTTGTGTGTTCTCTCTCTCTCTCTCTCTCTCTCTCTCTCTCTCTCTCTCTCTCTCTCTCTCTCTCTCTCTCTCTCCGCACGTACGTGTGTACTTCCCCCCCCATTTCCGTTAGTATGCACCCCCTGAGGGCCGTTGGGTGACGCTCCCTTCTGACGAGTCCACTGGAACTTATTCCCGTCCCTGTTCTTCAAACCGCACATGCCGGACTCGAAGTTACACGCCAGGAGGTTGCCTGTTCGTTTAGCAGTTTCAGTAAAAGTTTTAGGTCTCGGGTTGGCGGGTGCTCCGGTGTGCGGCTTGCTTCTTTTTTCCTATGAAACATCTGTCGTCCTTATGATCTCCCCTTCTTCTTTTTTTTTTGTTTGTTTGTTTGTTACTCTCTTGTAACACCTCTAATCTTCTGGCGCTCGTCGTATGACCAGAGAAGGTTTTACAGTAAATCTAAACATGTCCCGCATATATATATATATATATATATATATATATATATATATATATATATATATATATATATATATATATATATATATATATATATATATATAATATATGTATATATATATATATAGGTGCCGACGCTTAAGTGTTGTCATTGTTACAACAGAGTAATATTATAGAATCTAGTATTATTGCCTACATAGAAAAGGAGAGGAGATAAGGACAATGGATGTTTGATAGGGAAAAGGAGCAAACCACACTGCCTACCACCAAAAACTTTCTAATTCTGCTAATGTTCGAAGTTCAATGCAGTTTGTTGGCAAAAGTTAGATACTTTTGTACATGTATATTTCCAATCCTCCCTATCTATCTATCTATCTATCTATCTATCTATCTATCTATCTATCTATCTATCTATTCTACGCTTCTTGTGATTCTTTTGAAGCTTATGTTTTTAAGGTTTGAATACTTTGGTGAATAAGTACAAGTACCCCCAGAGTTTCACACTGAAAGTTAGCCTTGTGACATCGTCCGATTAGCTAGCAATAATACAAGCTGTAACGATGATAATTGTAAACTCTGCTCGTTCAACCCTTTTCAGTCTTAAAAAAGATCTCCTAACGTAATATAACATTAACCTTTTTGATAAATGGAAAGCTTTGATTTAACATGCTATCGCCTCGAGTACTTATAAAAGTCTTTAGCCTATAACTTTGTCTTAAATACATTTTTGACAATGAAACCCACGTTTTCCTTCACATACGAGTAGACTGCTTTATAAGATCAGTCGAATTTCAAAACATCGAGTTTGGATTGTTTTTTGGTGTGTGTGTGTGTGTGTGTGTGTGTGTGTGTGTGTGTGTGTGTGTGTGTGTGTGTGTGTGTGTGTGTGTGTGTGTGTGTTATCTGAAACTTTTGTCTTTTTACTTTTTCTGATTTTTCACAATACGGACTGGGACTTACCTGTCTGTGTCACACGGGTAATGTGGCTGGTATCTGTGGAAAGAGTGGGCCGAGGGCACATCAATTTGTTTGACAACGTTCAGGTAAACCACAAAATTTTGTTGTTTTTGTTTAACACCCATGTAAACCAAAATATTTTGTTTTTGAATATCCATACGAAGCACAATAGTTTGTTTTTCAACACCCATACCAAGCGCATATTTATTTTTAAACATTCATACAAAGGGCATATTTGGTTTTCAACACACATACAAAGCACACTTGTTTTTGAGCATCTACGCTAAGCTCATATATTTGTTTTTCAACATCCGTGCAAAGCGCATATTTGTTTTTCAACATTCATACAAAGCGCATAATATTTGTTTTTGAACATCCACGCTAAGCGCAATTCAAAACGCGCGCGCGTGTGTGTGTGTGTAGTGTGTGTGTGTGGG